GGACGGCTCGCAGTCAGTATAATGTGTCTGAGTGGGGTATTCATGCTTCACTGCGGCATGGTATCTCAGTGGGCTAGCACTATAAAACCAGCTTAAGTCTGGGCTAGTACAAGCAGCCACACATACACATACACACGCATGCACGTCGTCATATGAGCGAAATATTCTCAAGCACGACATTAAACCCAATTTCACCTCACTTCACCTTTTAAATGAAATCGTGAAGATGATACTCTATAGTGAGTCTTACATTCATCAAGTTGGTTTATTAAGATATGCCGTTCATAATAATAATGGTGACCTTTCTAGCCATGGTTTAAGAGACATCGATCTAACCGCACAACAATATCAACGGAGGACACATATAATGTACCCATGTGTAGAATCTAACCTGGGGCTCATCGTTGATCGTTCGCTGATATGACAACAGCGGAGATTCACTGGCAGCTACAGAGACAACTGACTTTACAATTTCCTACGGGCATTAGACTATAGATGTAACAGGCTGTTATTTGCGTTAAGGTACGCACACAGAAGAGCGAGTTGTATACGACTGACGTAAACGCACGTGTCTCACAAGGTTTGAATGGATTTTCTCCCTGCTTCAGGCGCAGTTGTATTGATTGATACAGATCTCACGTGCTGCTGATTGATTCGACGACTGTTTATATGATATTTACAATATCAATATGTATGGTAAAGAGATACGCAAAGGAGGTCAAGGCTTCAAAAGAGGAAATCCTGTTTCAATTTGACTTAAGCACATAATTCTTTCGTCTGATGATTGCAAATTAGTCCATCTGTTTATGGCTTCCCTTATACACAGTTACACTATCTCAGATTAATACAGTCAGTGTCAGTTTCACACATGCTGATTGTGGGTGAGTGAATTTTGTTTTACGCTGCTTTAAGCAATATTCCGATTTTTACCGAACCCTTTATTTTACGAGCTTTATTTTACCGCTTTAACCACTAAACAACCCCTCAGCTCAAGGCACCTTGTGGTAATTTCATTCAGGGCATCTGTGTCTCAGTTAACACAACAGTTTGGTTCTCGTTCCCAGCCACCCATCCATCCATCCATCCATCCACATATCCATCCACACATGTGCATAATATAAATATTTGAATCGATTACTACAAGTTACTACAAGTGCATGGTTTATGACAGACGTACTTTTGCCAGGTAATATAAGAACATGTTTCCTTGACATTTCGCCCAATAACAATTATATTGCACTTTTATTTATGAGACACCTGACGCCGTTGTTGTGTATGGAAGATGTCCTCCCACGCACCTGTTATATTCACATCTCCATACAGAAGATGTAGCGTCATATCTGTACTAATTCTTTGATCCTGGGTTGCTGCTCCCACGACAATGGATACATTGTTGTTCACATTCATGAGGACTTTTTGTTATGAGTTGCACAGCATCGATGGTTTTGAAATGTTTGTTAGAGATTTTTTTATATCAATTTTGCTTTTAAAAAATGTCACGATGAAGAGAAAGACAGTGGGCATGCTGCCCACACTCCAGTTACGGATTTCCGTTTGAACCCATTTTTGAACTCTGATGTACACTCAAGCATGATCTTTCTACGAAGATGCCAAATAGCTTCATGTGTTGTTTGATCAGAGTTAGAACATTCATAGACATAGTGAAGCTTTCAAAAAAGAGTTTAAGTGGATATGTGGAGCCAAATTTGATGCACCAGTAACAGATATAAATTCCCTTACAGAAGTATGCTCTCCTGGTTTTCAAGGTGAACAAGTGACATACTTTTGCTTATATATGTGTGTGAAGGTTGCCACCAGTTGGGCAGGATACAGTTACCTTTTAACACCTAGCATTATCACTATCTGATAGTTATTCGTAATGACATTATCATAACTTGGTCCGAATGGAAGGTCGGAATCTCCTGTACTGAAGGATTCCTCAGTTGTTTGGTCCAGGCATTCTGTCACTAGGTTGTCTGGTCGGGTCTCAGTTGTTTTCAGTCCTCCTCCGTATGTCGGAGGATTGTTTTGCTCCCTTAGACAACAAAGGAACACTTTTGTGAAAATTAAATATATGTGGGAGTCGTATCTGATTTTCAATTATCCATTCAAATATTTAGTTACCATATTTATTCGTTTTATGTTAAATGAATTGTGTGTTTCTGAAGAAAGTCGAGTATGGTTATTCTTGATTATGGAAAAGGATTTTGTCGCTTTTATTTGACAATTAAAGAGAACCTGGAAAATATACACTTAGATGCGCTTCTGAGCATGTGTGAATCAGTCAGAATGTTTGCCTTGGATTGGATTAATTTGGATAATCGATATTGTTGTACTGAATCTTTCACATAATTTAGAAAAACACAGAGTATTTCTCAGTGTATTGTTAATAGGTTACATAAACGATCTGGTAACAGTTAAACTATTAATGTGAAGTTAAGACCAGACTAGCGATGTAAACACACAAAAATGTAACGGATTTATCCATAATTTTCATACTTATAATTGTGGTTACAACACCAAAGTCTACATAATATATCATAATGTTTGAGTAATTGTGACATCCGATCAAGCTCGGGTAGGGTACTGACAAACATAGAATCAATCATGGCGAATGGTTAGATCAATAAGCGCCCTGGTAAATGGTAGGAACTAGAATCCAATGTATTACATGAAGCAGAACGGGTATGGTGTTGATACACATAGAATCAATCAAGCAAGTAGTGATATAGATGAGGAATCAGCTCAAAGATTGGAACAAGAGCAGAATAAATTACATAAAACAAGTGCCAAGAACTAATGATATGTTACAAGTATGCTGATGAGCCTAACAAATATGTTGGTGCATGGACATTTGGGAAACAACATGTGTTGCTCAATCCTCTGTTCCTTAGTGTGTGTGTGAGTGAAAATTCTCTGTAAAATAAGCCATACCAGTAATAGCAAAATCAGCAATGTGAAATATTATCAGCATTTTCAGCCAAATCCTCTGAATGACCATTTTCTGAAAAATAAACCCTTTCATTAATGGTAGAATCAGCAATGTGGAATATTGTCAACAGCATCAGCAAAATCTGCAACATCGGCAAGAACACTAATAGGTCATCACTAAAATCAGCAACATCAAACGTCACTATCGTCAATACCTACAAAATCAGCAATATAACTAATATCAGCAACATTACTAATATTTGCACTAACATGAATATCACTGATATAAATATTATCAGTGATGTCGTGAAAACCACCAGTATCACTTATGTCAGCCAGCGACGTCTGTGCTGTACAAAGGACCAGCTCCCGGAGAACACCAGCCACAGTGTCGACACTAACTACATCAACACACAATCAACTCTACTAAGATTTGGTCCACAAAGGTGAGAATACCCAGACTATTGACTTAACGTCTGCATGATTCATTGATTTAGTTCTGTCAAGAATTCAGATGCCATTCCACATCAGAATCTGGAGAAATAACACAGAGGCATAGTAAAAGATCAAAGTCAGCAATACCTACAAAATCAGGAAAATCAATTACTCTAAATCTTTACATGGAAAAGTATTTGCAACTTTGAATTGTCGAAACCTTTTAAAACATTTTAATATTTTATGCAGTAACATAACTTGTGGTATGTTCAGGATTCTAAAATATTGATTGCATTCTCTAATTTCATGTCTGCGTCAACACCAAGAGCGCATCACTCCATTCTGTTGCCCAATTACACACACGCTAGAGATCATAGATCGTTTTAACTGACACGTGAGCTAAATTACGCAACTTGAGACCACCTCGTCTGAAATGTTAAAGGAATATGCCAATAAAAAATGAAAATCATGGCATTTAAAGAATGTTTAAGCGGTAATCCATACATGTTATCAAATAATTATTAGTTTATTACCAAAGTCTGTAAAAAAAATTGAAAATGGAAAAAGATCACAAATAGCGACCTCACAGGGTGTCGCCATGATGCTGTCTCGAATGGTTGACGAGAGCGCGAAATAGCGAGAAAATGACGTTATCGACACACCACGAAGTTAGGTTACACCGCTGTCATCAACGGTGCGCGATGCCGGCCTGTCAGGTTGGGGTTGTTCAAACCGTAACGACCGGTGAAAAAGCGTCCCCGGTCACGGAAAATCATTTTTTCAAATACCCAGGCCAGATAAAAAGAAGATCCTATGCAGCAGATGGCTACACAACATCGGGACTGGATGGACAGCATCGACCAGCACAAAGTTTGAACTTTGAACAACATGACATTTTTGCGTACAGCCTTTTCTAGACAAGCTCATAAATGATTATTATGAAAGTAATTCTTATAGGTCCTTGTTAATATAGTTGCATTTGTTAAATAACTTAATTTTGTTTAGGAAATATTTTTATTTTAATGATTTCTTCCAGTAAATAAAATATTTTCGGCCGCAATTTATTCGAAGCGAATCCTCCTGTGTCACGATGCATTGTGGTAAGTTCGTAATCATGGTAATAAAAATAAATTCGTACGTATGTATCACATATAATTCAACCAAAAACTGGATTAATTTTGATTTTGTATTCGATTATCTTGTACGACATTGATATGATTACGAATGTCGGTAGGGATTAAAGGTAAAATGTTGACTTGTAGGGCTGCATGAAGATCTAGTAGAAAATCATGGATGAATATGATTATCGGCGTAACACTTTCAGTCATCATCAATTTGTTTTAAAAAGTTATGGATTTACACCATTATGAAGAAACTGGAAAAAGTTACAATATTAAAGTTGTTGACAAATGTAGACTAACGGCAAACGTTCCTTAGTGAACATCTTACGTATAATGTGGGCATATGGAAAGTTACCATTCAAGACCTATTTCAAAATATTCGACACAAAAATAAAGCCCATCCTGTTATACGGAAGTGAAATATGGGGACACACACGAGTCGAGGCAATTGAGAGAGTTCAATATTTTGCTTGTAAACGCTACATTGGAACCGGTACAAACACACCAAATGCTATGGCCCTTGGAGAGTGTGGACGTCATCCTCTGTATGTGGATAGTGCCGTCAGATGCATCAAATACTGGATCAGACTCCTTCATCTCCCGTCTCATCGACTACCACGCAAGGCATATGTCATGTTGTATAATCTGGACAATGTAGGTCGACATACATGGTGTTCCGATGTTAGAACCCTACTACAAAATGTTGGAATGGGATATGCTTGGGCTTCACAAGATGTTGGTGTTACGGAATATTTTGTTAAGGACTTTGAACAGCTTTTAAAAGATATCAGTTCTCAACAGTGGCATGACTTTTTAACCAGCAACTCAAGATATGATACATACTCAACATACAAGACAACTCTTGATGCTGAAGAATACTTATTAGACTCTTCACTACGAACTTAGATAGACAGAGGCCGGATATCAAATATGCCCCGTGAGCAACGTATCTGTCCACACTGTGATCGATATGAAATCGAAGATCTTTATCATTTTACTTTGATATGCCCTTCCCTTGACACCATCAGAAAAGCTATTCTACCAAGTTATGTGATCAGGAACCCATCAGTACACATGTTCTCAAAACTTATGTCAACAACTTCACACTCTGTGCTTACAAAATTAATGGCATTCATTCATGTTGCTTTTAAGAAGCGAAAATGATGGTTTATAATATCACCCATATTATTATTGTTGTATTATGTATTTGGGCCTATGGCCACACATGCATTATGGAAATAAACTACATTACATTTAGGTTTTATTTTTGAAAAATCATATCCCAAATAATCACATGTGCATAGTATTGTAAATAGTATTGAGTTTTAAAACATTTAAGAAAATAATATGAATAGTCTTTTCTCTTTTGTAATCAATTATCATGTAAGCATTATAATAATAAGTATTATTATTATTAATATAAAGAATAATTAATCATGTACATAAATAGATCACATCACATACATGAATATGTTTCCTAAGCTGTTTTTGAGTAGATGTGTACAATTTCAATTGTTTTCAATTGTAGATGATTTAGAAAGGTTTGATTTTGACTGTTTGATTTTTCTGTGCAGGTTTTTTGTGAAGACCATTTTGAGCCAGACTGTTTCGAGTATGATCTCCAGGCAAGAGTTTTAGGGGTAGAGCCACATCTGAAACTGAAGGGAGATGCAGTCCCTACTCCCTTTGTTCATAGAAAGAGACAGGGAGAAGAGAAGAGAGATGAGAGAAGGGATCGCCTGATAGAAAGGAAAAGAAAGCAGGTAACTCAAATAGGCTTAAAAACACAGACATTTTTTTTTAACTTTAAATATATGATTGTCTACCCCTAAGCTTTTTAAATAAAGGTACATATGTGAGTTGACATCTGTATGACTTAATATGTTGATCAGTGACTAGAATGTAAGTTATGAAATATAGCAAGGATGATTATATCAGAATTCAGTGGAATATATCACAACTTGCTGGGGTTGCATACTTACTTAATTCTTTTCTTTTTTGAGGTTATCAGCAGTGTCATCAGCTCTCCAGCCATCACAAAAAGCAGGAAGTCTAAGGTACTTAATGTTTTAATTGTTCATTAGTATTATGGAAACCATTCCTACTTGTTTGCCTTGATAGCATAGTTTACAAACAGTGCCCTTGTAAAGTTACATACAAACAGGAATTTGTCTCACTGTTAAACATAGAACATGTTTAGAGAAATGCCTCGAAATAAGACTGATAATGAATTCATTAGACTCTATGAGAATTTGTTATGTATTTTTTTAATCATCGGAAGTCTTCATACAAAAAAAACATATATTACGAAATTGGAGATTGATATTGAAACATATTTATGGATTTTATCCATACGCTAGTACTCAATTTTCTTACAAGAGCATGAATCTTATTTGTTTTTATCACATTGATTTATATGTATTTTTTAATAAATATTGCATTGCTTCATTTACCAAAAGTACAACTAACCCATGTAATAGCTAATCTAACATGCAAAATATACAAGTGCCGGAACACTGCACACTATCTGTAAATGTATTTCAAAACCCTTTATTAGGTATAATCAAGGTAATCTATAATTATTTCTACTCTTATAACATTCATAAACACAGACCAAACTTCTTACATTAAAAGCCAGCAGTGTATTCCTGTATATGACAAACATTATGCATAGCAAATTAGTTCTTGACACATGTATTTCAGAAGAAATCATCAGATCATGCACCCAAGAAGAGAGGTTTGAATTCCAACCATGGCAACATTGAAGTTTGCTCTGTTGTAAGTATTTGTTCTTGTTAAGCATCTTCTGAATTCAAGGAAAAAATGTGACTTTGTCTAAAATGGTTAATTTTCATTTCCAGTTTAATGTCTTGAATATATGGAGAATCTCGTCAAAGAGTGTTTTGATATGAAATATATGAACACCTTTTATGAAAGGTACCAATATCCGAGGATATTGTTGCTGTAATCAACGAGTTTTGATATATTTGATATCAGAAGACATGATGGTGACATTTTATTTATCATCCAAAATCATTCTTAATCAGTTGTCAGTAAAAAAATGAACATATCTGAACACAAAACTGTCATTAGGCTTCCTGAGCATTAAGGTCATAGCATTGTCAACTGTGTTCTTAGTGATGTCATAGTATTAACTGATGATGTAATAGCATTATGACAATTCAATTGTTGTGATATCTACAACGAAGATATCGCAAAGCGTTGTCTACTGTGGGAGCCAGTTTTATAAAAATAATGAGAATATTTATAACATTTCTTTTCCAGGCTAGATATCCTGCTCAAAGCGTATAATCCGATCATTGTTAACCCGGACAATCCATGCTGCCTGTTAGGCACTAGAAGGTTAATAGTCTCACGACTTATTTCACCGGGTACCCATTTTCTGCTGGGTGAATAGAGGCAAGTTTGAACAAACTCACTTGCCTAATAATTATTTGGCTTTTGAGAAATTCTAACATGTTTTTAACAATTTGTTTTTAGAGTATTGGCGTGTGTTGATTGCTGCCACACAAATCATCACCGCTGCAATGGTCCTGAGGCATCTCCCTTGACCACCTCGCTGGGTCATGCATATTGTGCACTGTCAGAGCAAAAGGAAGAGGTTCACTCCACACCTGATATTGATATTTCTGATATATCTCAGGATTCTGGATCATTTGACAGTGTTGTTGATGATTTGAATAAATCAACAGTTCTCAGCGAACCATTTTCTTCGCATGTTTCAAGTGTTGGAAGTGAATCATCATTGTACCAACCATCAAGTGATGCTGAATCACAAAGTGAAAATGAAGACGAATCTGAAATAGACCCTATTTCAAATATCCTCTCTCAAGATAAATATATAGTGTTTTCCGATGCACTTGAAGAAATTTTGTACCGTATTCCTTGTAAATACTGCTCATGTCCCGTTGATGAAATCAAGAAATCTTTTTCTGGTAGCATGATCACAGCGAAAATATATTGTACAGGGTGTCATGAGGTTTTGTATTGGAGGTCGCAGCCACTTTTGATTGATCATGTGTCTGCTGGGAATGTGATGCTATCTGCCAGTATTTTGTTCACTGGACGGACATACAAACATGTTGCTTCGTTGATGAATCTAAAGTTTGTTGGTAAAAGTACCTTTTATGACAATCAGATTGATTATCTATTGCCTGTTATTGAAGATTGGAATGTATGGAAAGACATTTGTTGAGTGTTCCCATGATATTATATTACAGTTTATATTATGATATCATCATATCAATGTAATTGCAAAATTGATTACTAAAATCTACTTTTTGTAGTTGTCAGTTATCCATTATTGAATAAATACCATTCATTTACACACAAAAAACCGCAACTATCTACTACCATCCAACCACAATATAATTGGATAAAATCATTGCTCCTGAATTTCAGGAATCAGGAACTCAATATCACGTTCATATCACTCGTGAAGATGCATGGCATCGTTTACTTCTTTAAAGCCTGTGTATTGTTGTGCTGGGAAGCTCTGTCTAATTTGTCTGATGACACAAGCAGGTATCACCTTCCTCACCCCTTTACCAAGTTTCTGCCCACTATGAGCCCATGACATAAAGTTCCTATATGCCATAAGCCTTTACTGTCTGAAATAGGTAACAGGTGTGTCTCATTATTGTTGAAAAGAATTTACTCATTCACCTAGAAATAGAGGCCTCTCTCTCGCTCTCTTGAAAACATAATTTCTTATCCAAATTGTTTTTCAAAAACTTTCAGTTGTTTATACTGTATACATAATTATGTTCTTTACCTTATCCCAAACTGATGGTTTCCATGTTGCACACCTATTTATCAGTGCAACTAGGTAATGATAAACATAAACGTTTGTTCTATGTTTATATATCTAAGAAATTGCTTTGCATAACTGTCACAGGAATATATAATTAAATGACAGCAAATGTTGATGAAAAAGTGATGTTATGAAATATCCATATTGTTGATATAGAAGCATTTTAGATGGTGAAAAGGGAGAATGAATTATTGCATTTCATCTACGGGTTGTATTTCAGTATGACTATCTAAGCACCAATAATATGTCAACAGAGAAATAAAGATTATTGATGTTCAGTTGTGATTTTGTTTTTCAAACATTCATTATTGAATTAATATCTAATAAAGGTATCACCTAATTTTTAATGTTATTTTACTGGGTAAGGAAAATGATTAAAAAAATATGAATAATATTCCGTGATGTTGTTCTTAGGATCAAAGTATTATGTGCTCCATCTTGTGAAAAAACATCACCTTGGGCATGGATTTGGGCATAATTACCATTTTAATAAATCATATACAATTACGATTATGCCATGGTGAAAACACTTATCATAATACGATTTACTGTCATTTGTCAAAATTTCTACAGAAATTGATAATTTAAAAATTTACAATTGGAAAATATGGAAATTTACCAAAGTGTATGTAAGAATATTTGAAAGACAAAACTTTCTATTTCATCTGAATATCAGTTTATGACAAACTCTCAAACCTCTTTTTGAAAATCCCATGTAAGACGTGAGGGGATTATCACTGGAAAACATACCGGTTGGTGAGAACATCAGGAGCTCGTCCACTCATTCCCTTGAACATCATGAATTGGATATAGCTCATAAGTAGCACCGGTAGTGAAAGACATATGGTGGAAAAATCACAGTGATCGGTAATGCAAGAAATACCGATAATTCTATCATGGAGGTAGGGTATTTCCTGGCAACGTCGACACTCCATTGCCGTTGGCATTGCCTCGCACTTCTCACACTCACACCATGTCGTATTTCTGGTACGATTATAATCAGCGGAATCGGTCTCAGAATCGCTTTCACTAGATCGATTATCAAGAGTTCTGCTTTCTCCCTCCTCAAACTGCGGTTCAAATATATACGGTCGTAAGTTATACTCCATTGCTGCTAGTGCTAGGCTGCTAGTACAAATTTAGAACTGGGTTTCACTTTCAATAAGATAATGTATTACGTTGAAAAGCGCGCAGGGCAAATATACCGTAGATTCAGTTATAATGACAACTTCATCGCACGATGATGTACGGAGATTACAATCTAAACTCCTTACACCGATTTCTTGTGGTGTGTCGATGACGTCACATTTTCAGAAAGAATGGCAGCACTCCTGTCGATGAAGACAGACGTTTATATGTGATGTAACTACTTAACCCGTTGACCGAATAAATTATAATTTGGTGAGAATTTGTTTTATTACTCGATCTTTTGCAGGATTGAATTTGAAAACTGATTGGAATATTCTTTTAAGATATTTTACCCCCGAGACTCGGTGTGAAGACATGCTCATATTTCTGAATGTCACAAATTCAGTCAATGGAATTAACAGATCATGTGCCAAGTGGACTTTTCGAAATACAAGCTTAACGTTTAGGATTGTTCTTTTCTGATACTCCAAATCTGAAAAAAGTACACCAGGTGTTCGCGAAAAGGGTTACACGTCCTCCCCTACCAGTAGCACAATGCACAAAATATTCATAACACAGTAAACATATATACGACGGCAACCTGTAAATGAAAACGTGATTAATGGACCAGAAATCCAGAGAAACGATATTGTGTACCGATATTGGTGAAAATAATGAAAACAATATGTTACATTTCATTTACGTTTGCTATCAATATTACAGCTGCTAGACACATATTCACGGTAACATTAATCAATGCGACGACCAAACCTCCCGTGTCCAGAAATGAAACAGACTGGTAAACACCAGGCCAGGTACTGGTTGAAAGAGGATGCACCGGTAGTATTATTGGCTCATTACATCAATTGAGATAAACAATTCATTAAACTGATAAAGTTTCTTTAATAAAAAAGGAAGATATCACCTACTTCAAGCTACTGTCCTCGAGATAAAAATATGAATACCTCTACTATTATGTTTACACAGAGGTGGCATTTGAAAGAAGTCAGGCACCACTGAAGTGGACTATGGTAAAGGTGTCAAAACAGATTAGTGATCAAGAATCATGGAGTACTACAAACAAAAGCAGCGAAGCGAAACCCTTCAGGTTCATTTGGACGGTTCTCGACTCCTGTCTGATCAGAGGTCTGCCAGAAACCCTAGAGGACCTAAAGACCCGTAAACACTGAGTTAACAATGTTGGCTAGCTCAGTAAATACAGCATTAGCTAGATTTTCCAGTGACATCATGTCAAATACACTCGAAATAGTGCACCGATTCAAACGACACGAAAATAGCCGTCCACTCAAATTATTCGCTTGAGCAAAAGAGGGAACTATCCAGAACTTGTAGTAGACAGGTACAATCAAGTATTCAAGCTGACGTGATTCCAGCCTTTTCAAAGATGGTACCTGGGGTGAATATTGCATCGTGATGCTCCCGTGACGAAGGTACGCAGAACACGGGTATTTGTGCAAGGATCAAATACAGTTGTGACAAGAAATACAGACGTGAATAGACAGACTTCAACGGAAACAGTCGTGAAAACAAATAACGGTCGTGACAAGAAATAAAGACGCCAATCGAAGCACCTCCTTCACTGATGTTTTAAGTCAGGATGTATGTGTTATCGAATACAGAAACGATGGTTATCGCCGTTGATGTCAATAAACGTAATTATTGCAGTGCAAGGAAAGCCGATTATTTCAGACTTCTACTGGACATCAATAACCTTACAAATATTATACTTTCAATGAAATCACCACTGTCAACCCTTATAATGATCACATGACGTAAAAGACGACGGGCATCAATACGAAAAATCAACATTAATAATATGCTAGCATTATTCAACAGAAGATTATCAAGGA